AATGAGCCCGGTGCTTTTAAAGTTCAAAAAGAGATTGTACCACATCACTGCATCCCAAATATTTCCTGCTGTGAGCCTGTTTTAAGCGTTTGTGTGACTCCAAGCTAAAGTTCTGCGAGGTGAGAATCAGAGTTGTTAAGAGGAAGGGTGGGAGGTGTAGAAGCATCCTGGCTGCTAAAACACAGATAGATCGCTAACTTGGCAAAGCAGCAAGGGACGCTGGGTACATTGGCCAAGTAAAATGCTGAACTTCCAAAACCTACACACCAGAAATATTGCAAACACGGCAGCCAGGTGCCAATAACATTAGCATAATGTAAAAGCAACAGTTATTCTGGACAAACATACCCCCAACAACTTATTCACCATACAGAGAAGGGCCCAGACAGAAAGGCACCAGGGCCTGCTACACAAATAAACAAACAGTAGCAAGCCATTCAAATGACTGACAATGTTTCAAACTATTAAATGTATCTCCCTGATTGGCCAGAACTATAGAAAATTCCAGAAAAACCATCAAAAAAAGGTACAAAAGGAAGGGTTCACCTGAAGACTGCTCCCTTGAACCTTCTGGAGGCCTTATGAGGAGACCAGCTGACCATCCAGAGAGAGACAGAGGAGGAGAGAGCAGCTTCTCAGAGACAGAACACTTGATTGAGTTGGTTGAAGAAGTAACAAAGAGGATTGATGAGGACAGAGCGGTGGATGTGATCTATATGGACTTCAGTAAGACATTCAGCGAGGTTCTTCATGGTAGACTGGTTAGCAAGGAATATCAGATGGAATATGGGGAGAACCAGCCATTTGAATACAGAACTGGCTCAAAGGTAGAAGACAGAGGGTGGTGGTGGAGAGTTGCTTTTCAGACTGGAGGCCTGCCACTAGTGGTGTGCCACAAGGATCGGTGCTGGCTCCATTGCTTTTCATCATTTATATAAATGATTTGGATGTGAGCATAGGAGGTATGTTTAGTAAGTTTGCACATGATACCAAAATTGGAGGTATAGTGGACAGTGGAGAAGGTTACCTCAGAGTACAATGGGACATTGGTCAGATAGGCCAATTAGCCAAGGTGTGGCAGATGGAGTTTAATTTCGATAAAGGTGAGGTGCTGCATTTTGGAAAGGCAAATCAGGGCAGTTCTTATACAATTAATTGTAAGGGACTGGGGAGGGTTGCTGAACAAAGAGACCTTGGAGTGCAGGTTCATTGTTCCTTGAAAGTGAAGTCACAAGTAGACAGGATAGTGAAGAAGGCATTTGGGACGCTTGCCTTTATCGGTCAGTGCATTGAGTGTAGGAGTTGGGAGGTCATGTTGTGACTGTACAGGACATTGGTTAGGCTACTTTTGGAATTCTGTGCACAATTCTGGTCTCCCTGCTATGTTGTGAAAATTGAAAGGGTTCAGAAAAGATTTACAAGGATGTTGCCAGGGTTGGAGGGTTTGAGTTGTAAGGAAGAGGCGTAATAGGCTGGGCTATTTTCTCTGGAGCATCGGAAGCTGAGGAGTGACCTTATAGAAGTTTGTAAAATCATGAGGGGCACAGATAGGGTAAATACACAAGGTCTTTTTCCTAGGGTGGGGAAATATAAAACTAGAGGACATAGTTTTAAGGTGAGAGGGGAAAGATTTAAAAGGGACCTAAGGGGCAACTTTTTCATGCAGATGCTGGTGCATGTATGGAACGAGCTGCCAGAGGAAGTGGTGGAGGCTGGTACAATGACTACATTTGAAAGGCATGTGGATGGGGACATGAATAGGAAGGGTTTAGAGGAATATGGGCCAAATGCTGGCAAATGGGACTGGATTAATTTAGGATATCTGGCCAGAATAGACGAGTTGGACCAAAGAATCTATTTCCATGCTGTACATCTCTATTACTCTATGAAAGAGTTAACGTTTTGGGTCAAGTTCTGAGGAAGAGTCACTGGATCTTAACTCTGATTTCTCTCCACAGATGTTGACAGACCTGCTGCACTTTTCCAGCAACTTCTGTTTTTGTTTTGGTATGATGGACATAATTAGTGAATGACTATAATGTAACAGGAACCTGAATACTGATAATACTACAGCTCCGATTATTACCGGAAAGAATTCTGATATGTTTGATGTATGAGATTCCTGATTATTGGTGGAATTGGCAACATGTTTCTAATACAACGGGAGCTGTCCAAATAATTAGATCCTGTAATGTAAATAACCTCCATTATTATAGAAATAATCAGTGTTCGATTCCTTTAAAGGTCCTAACTATTGCTGTAGCTGAATATTAATGTGATCATGTCCTGAATCTTAAAGTAACAGGACTCTGACCGTGAATGTAATCTTCCAGTAAAATGGCAGTGGAGTAAGGCTTCTGAGCTCATACACTCTGTCCGCTTTACTTTTTGTTTCTTTTCTATTTTTTTTCTCTCTTCTCGCTTTTTTGTTTTTTTATTTTTGTTACTTAGCTCAGTTGTGTTGGCAGCACGGTGAAGGAGACCCGTGCCTGACCACCAGGCCTATGATGGAGCACTGAACAGGGAGGACTGTAAAGTCTGACGTGTTCTTTATTCTTTCATTTCTCTGCCTTTCTGTTCTACGTTTTGGCTCATTTTTCTGTGTTTTAAGACGGCACTGGAGAGTGGCGACACTATACGATACCTTTCACTGTATTTTGCAACAAGATACACGCGACAACAAATAAACAAAATCATAGCAGACTATTAATGTAGTTGGACGAGTTGAATCCCTTCCCGCAGTCGCCACGTCTCCACGGTTACTTCCCCAGGGTGACAAGAGCTTGTGTCTCACAGAGACAGCAGCTGGAGGTTTGTCCGAGGCGACGTGGGAAGGGGCAGGGAGTGGGAATTCCGTGGATTTCTCTTTAAAAGGGCCAAGGCGGACTGGATGATCTCCACTTCGCGCTGCACTGCGATCAGATTCGAGGGTAGTTGAACAAGACATCGCAGAACCGCAGGACAGAATCACTGAGCGAAAGAGGTAGCTCTGCTGGTGCGTGCACTTTGTGGAGTCTTACTTTATACAAAATGACCACCGTGAAACAGCAGCAACTTTTTATTCGCAAATGAAGTTGAATGAAACGTCTCAAGGTGTTTCAGGAAGTGATGTCTGACACTGATTGACGTCAGGCGGTGGAAAAGGGGGAGGGGCCAAAATCTTGAGAAGGGTCTCGGCCCGAAACGTCAGCCTCTCTGCTCCTATGATGCTGCTTGGCCCTGCTGTGTTCGTCCAGCTCTACACCGTGTTATTCTCAGATTCTCCAGCATCTGCAGTTCCTGCTATCTCTGGCCCAAAATCTTGATGGGGAGGTCGTTTTTAGTAAGTGCTATGAAGCACGAGCAGTGTGCCTAGCGCTGCAGCCCCAACAGGAACGTCTACCTGCTCCCCATCTGTATTATGTAAGATTTGAGCCTCTTCACAGCACTGCTGGTTTATTAACAGGAGACGGAAAGGACTGGGAGGCTGTGAGTGACCGAGGGAGTAAGGACATTGCTGGAAATTATAAGGAGAGACTGGATAGGCTGGGGCTTTTTTTTCACTGGAATATAGGAGGTTGAGGGGTGACCTTACAAAAGTTTATAAAATCATGAGTGGCACAGACAAGGTGAATGGCAGATGTGTTTTCCGTGGGGGCATATTTTTAAGGTGAGAGGAGAAATTTTCAAAAAAAGACGTGAGCATATAGAGTGGCTTCTGTGTGGAACGAACTTCCAGAGGAAATGGTGGGTGTAGGTACAGTTACAATGTTTAAAAGGCATTTGGATAAGTCCATGAATAAGAAATGTTTTGAAAGATATGGGCCAAGCGCAGGCAGGTGGGACTAGCCTAGTTTGGGATCATGGTTGACATGGACTAGTTGGATCAAAGGGTCTGTTTCCATGCTTTATGACTCAATCAGGAGAAAGGCAGAGGAGTCATCGAGCGATTTAAGGAAGGAATTTCAGAGGTTCACCCCCCCAGGAATGTTCCCCCGAGGATGAGTTAATAAAATCAAGGATTCAAAGGTGGGAGATGAAGGAACAAGCTAAGGGACTCCACAATGAATGGTAGGACACTAGGAAGCTCAGAGGGATCTTCAGGTGCTTGTCCACAGAGCACGATCCCTGAAGGTGGCAGGACTTAGGGTGGGGGAGGAGGAAAACGGGCCCCTTGCACTTATCAGTCATGGCGTAGATTATAAGAGCAGGGAGGACATGTTGGACCTATACAGGCCTGTGACCAGCGGTTTTCCACAGGGATCAGCACTGGGTCCATTTTTCTTTGTCATTTGTAAAAATGAATTAAATGGGAATATAGGAAGCACAGTTACAAAGTTTGCAGATGACACCAAAATTGGTAGTATAGTGGACAGCGAAGAAAGTTATCTAAGATTGCAAAGGGATCTTGATTAATTGGGTCAATGGGCTGAGGAGTGGCAGATGAGTTTAATTTGTACAAATGCGAGGTATTGCATTTTTGGTAAAACATACAACAGCAGGACTTACACAATTAATGGCAGTGCCCTGGGTAGTGTTGTAGAACACAGAGACTGAAGGGTTCAGGGATATAATTCTTTGAAGTTTGCATCACATGTAGACTGGGTAGTTAAGAAGGCATTTAGCATGTTGGCCTTCATCGCTCACACCTTTGAGTATAGGAGTTGGGCCATTACATTGAGGTTGTACAACACATTGGTGAGGCCTCTTCTGGAGCGCTATCTGCAGTTCTGGTCGCTCTGTTATAGGAAAGGTCTTATTAAGCTGGAGAAGGTTCAGAAGAGATTTACCAGGATGTGGCCAGGAATGGAGGGCTTGAGTTATAAGGAAAGGCTGGATAGGCTGGGACTTTTTCCACTGGAGCATAGGAGGTTGAGGAGTGACCTTATAGAGGTTTATAAAATCATGAGGAGCATAGATAAGGTGAATGGCATGTGTCTTTTTCCTAGGGTGGAGGATTTCAAGGCTAGGGGACATAGTTTTACGGTGAGAGGAGAAAGATTTAAAAAAAGAAACGATGCTTTTTTTTTAACACAAGCGTGTGATTCATGTGTGGAATGAACTTCCAGAGGAAGTGGTGGATGTGGGTACAGTTACAATGTTTAAAAGACATTTCGATAAGTACATGAACAAGAAATGTTTGGAGGGATGTGGGCCAAGCGCAGGCAGGTGCGAGTAGTTTGACTTGGGATTATGGTCAGCATGGACTGGTTGGACCGAAGGGTGTGTTTCTGTGTTGTATAACTATGACTGAACTGAGACCCTATGTTCAGTGTGTGTGTGTGTGTGTGTGTGTGTGTGTGCGTGTGCGTGTGCGTGGGGTGGAGGGGGAATGGGGATGGGGTTGGGGATGGGGGTCACCACTCTACAGCACGAGAGCATTGGTGTTTGGTGAATCAAAGGGGGGCAATGGCTTAGTGGTATTATCACTAGACTATTAATCCAGAGACCTAGGTAATGAGTCCCAGGTTTGAATCCCACTACGGGTGTGTGAATCCATTGTCAATTGTTGGAAAAACCCATGTGGTTCACTAATATCCCTAAGGGAAGGAAACTGCTGTCCTTACGTGGTCTGGCCTACACATGACTGTAGACCCACAGCAATGTGGTTGACTTTTAACTGCCCTCTGGGATGGGCAATAAATGCTGCCTAGCCAGCCATGCCCTCATCCTGTGAAGGAATAATTTTTTAAAAAAAAAAGTCAAGACGATGATCTGAATTTAGTCCCACAGTCGGAGCACCTCAACAGTCTCTCCTCAGACTGAATGCTTCGGGATGTGAGTCCCCAGGGGTTTTTGGAGACGGTCCAGCACTCTGGGCACTTGAACGGTCTCTCCGCGGTGTGAACTCTCCGGTGCCTCAGTAGGGCGGATGAACGAATGAACCTCTTCCCGCACTCGGTGCAGGAGAAGGGCCTCTCCCCGGTGTGAATGCGCTGGTGCTCAGTGAGTGCCGACGACCACCTGAACCCAGTCCCGCAGCGGGAGCACCGGAACGGCCTCTCCTTGGTGTGGATCCGCTGGTGGGACATCAGCTCCCCAGAACTTTTAAAGCACTTCCTGCAGTCCGGGCACTTGAAAGGTCTCTCATTCGTGTGAACACGTCGGTGGGTCATCAGATCGCAGGAACTTATGAAGGACTTCCTGCAGTCCGAACATTTGAAAGGTCTCTCCCCAGTGTGAACATGTCGATGACGTGTCAGTTCCCTGGACCTTTTAAAGCACTTCCCGCAGTGCGGGCACTTGAAAGATCTCTCGTCCGTGTGAACACGTTGGTGGGACATCAGTTCCCCAGAACTTTTAAAGCACTTCCCACAGTGTGAGCATTTGAAAGGCCTCTCTTCAGAGTGAACACGTCGATGGGATGCCAGATCGGTGGAACTTATAAAGCACTTCCCGCAGTCCGGGCATTTAAAAGGTCTCTCGTCGGTGTGAACACGTTGATGGCGCATCAGCTCCCCGGAACTTCTGTAGCACTTCCCGCAATCTGGGCATTTAAAAGGCCTCTCCTCGGTGTGGACCCGCTGGTGTACGTGCAGAGCGGATGGCCGGGCGAATCCCTTCCCACACTCGGAACAGGTGAAAAGTGTCTCCTCGGTGTCACCATGCCTATGAGTTCCCAGCTTTGTCGATGACCTGAATCCTTTCCCACTATCTTCACATTTCCATGGTTTTCCCTCGACTTGACTGAGCTTGTGTCTGTTGAGGCCAGGTGATTGACTGAAAACTCGCCCACACACAGAGTACAGGTATGGCTGCTCTGCAGAGTGAACGGTGCTTTTGACGTCCATGTTCAAAATCTCACGACATTCAAGTCAGTTGGGCAGTTCTGTTGGATCCTGACGATATGTTTATTTTCAGTCTCCTGACCGCAAATCCTCCCTTCTAAAGACCTGTGAAATTGATTTGAAATGGAAAACAGGGAGTGAGAGTAGTCCTGTAAAGATTCAAAGGCAAGTTGTGAAATCAAGCTAAACAAAAATTGGAGGCATAGCAAACAGTAAAGAAGGTTACCTCTGAGTATAAGGGGTCCTTGAACAGATGGGCCGATGGACTAAGGAGTGGCAGATGGAGTTTAATTTAGATAAGTGTGAGGTGCTGCATTTTGGAAAGGCAAATCAGGGCAAGACTTATACACTTAATGGTAAGGTCCTGAGGAAAGTTGCTGAACAAAGAGACCATAGTTACTTGAAGATGAATCATAGGTAGACAGGAAAGTGAAGAAGGTGTTTGGCCAATTACCTTTATTAGTCAGTGCATCGAGTATAAGAGTTGCAATATCATGTTGCTACTGTACAGGACATTGGTTAGGCCAATTTTGGAATACTGCATTCAATTCTGGTCTCCCTGCTATAAGAAAGATGTTGTTAAACTTAAAAGGGTTCAGAAAAGATTTACAAGGATATTGCCACGTTTGGAGTGTTCGAGCAATAGGGAGACGCTGAATAGGCTGAGGCTATTTCCCCAGAGCGTTGGATGCTGAGGGGTGACCTTTATAGAGGTTTGTAAAATCACGAGGGGCATTGATAGGGTGAATAATCAAGGTCTTTTTCCCAGGATATGGGAGTACAAAACTAGAGGGTATAAGTTTAAGGTGAAAGGGGAAAGATTTAAAAGGGACATAAGGGGCAACTTTTCACGCAGAGGGTGGCGCATGTATTGACTGAGCTGCCAGAGGAAGTGGTAGAGGCTGGTAGAATGACAACATTTAAAAGGCATCTGGATGGGTACATGAATAGGAAGGGTTTAGAGGGATATGGGCCAAATGCTGGCAAATGGGACTTGACAAATTTAGGATATCTGGTCGGCATGGACAAGTTGGGCCAAAGGGTCTGTTTCTGTGCTGTATGACTCTATGAATCTGGTAATTTGTGGGGTTGCCACCAGGAAAGGTTAAAAATGAAAATTGTTGGATTATTGTAGAGATCAAACAGTTTCACTCATGTCCATCAGGGAAGGGAACTTGACACCTGGTTTGGACCTACACAGAACTGCGGTCTTTACGGGAGAAGGGACAGAGGTGATGAAAGAGACACAAAGAAAGAAAAGAGGGTAGAGAGAAATTGAGAATCTGGGGCTCAGCAGGGCAGAGAGAGAGAGAGAAAGGATCACAGAGTAAAGAGGGTAGCCAGGGTGAGAGAGGGTATGGTAGGGTTGAGAAACAGTTGAGTGGGTATTGAGTGGATGTGGAGAGGTGGGCGAAGACAGGAGAGAGTCAGGCAAAGGAGAGGTAAGATTGTGAGGGGTGAGGCAATAGCGACAGTGAAGCAAGAGATGGAGACATAAGGTGAGAGATAAGGGGTAACTGACAAAGGTGGGGGGGGGCAAGGAAGTGAGAGGACAAAGGAGAGAGGCAGGCAAGAGAAAGAGTGAAACACAAGAGCAAGAGTTTGAGTTGGGGCAGGGAAGAGAGCGAGAGAGGTTACGATAAAGACAAGGAACAGGAGAGATTGGGACAAGAGAAAGCCAGCACAGGAGAAGGGGTAGATGGAGAGTGCGTGATACCAAGCGACCATGAGAGAGAGAGGGGGGAGCAAAATGGAGAGGAAGCAAAGAGAGGGAAGGGAAAGAGTGAGAGAGTGCATGTGTATTGGGGAGGGAAAAGAGAGAAGGGAGGGAACATATGAATGAGGTGCAGGATCAGGCTACTTGGTCCCTCAGTCTGTCATCAGAGTGAACAGGTTGATTTAACATCAGTTCTGTGAGACTTTTACAACAGTTCCCACAAATTTAAAAGGTCTCTCATCAATATGAACTTGCTGGTGTCTTGGCAGGTCGGATAACTGAACGAATCCCTCCCACACAGATAACAAGTGAATGCTTGTTCCTGATATGACTGTGTCAATGACATTCCACCTCATCTGAGAAATTGAATTCTTCCCACAATCCTGACATTTCCATGGTGTCTCTCCAGTGTGGATGTGCTTTTTTTCAACAGGCCACCTATCAGCTGAAGCTTCTTCAACACACACAACACGTATATGATTTCTCACCACTTTGAATGGTGTTTTTTCCTTCTAAGGCCTTATTCTGGGGTATTCTTTGTTCCTTTAGATATCACCTTAAACTTCACAATACATTGACAATTATCATCAAACATGATATTGACCACACCCATTCAAGCTGCTTTTGTTGTTCCAGCTTTTTTTAAAAAACACAAGGCCTCAAATTGTTTACCTTATGAGTTTTCAATAGCACCGCTCCTTAAAAACAAAACAGTCCAAAATAACCTCTTAAAGCCACAGTATCGTCACAAGATTGACACTTGACCTACCTAATTTGCAAGAACTAGGTTGAAAAGTACCCTCTTCTTTCATTGGACATAAACTTACCACTGTAGAATTTTTTTTGTCTACATACATTCTCGGGACTATTGTCTTTTACTCCACTGCTATTGCACTACAATTTCATGTAGTGGTCAGGTGGCTGGTTTGTGGTGTACAGCATCAACTGCGCAAGTCAGATTCCATGCACCGGCTGACGTCATCGTGCAGGTTTCGTCTTCTCAAACCCACCTCTCGCCTGAGGTGTGGTGGTCCCCAGGTTCAATCCACCGCCCATTCACTCCCTCTAATGAGACTGCAGTGCTCTGCAACTATGGCAACCTCACTTTTGCAATTGGGTTCCTAATTTTATTGATTGGCCCGCTTCCCCCACCGCCAAAAAATTGCGTAATCGCCAGATCATAGCGGGACAGAAATGGTCGTGCAGTAATGGCAGTGTCTTTACCCACCATTCCGCACGGTGAAGAATGTCCCCTATCCAGGTCACAGGCGAGCGGTGCGCATGCGCAATGCCACGCCGTTGCTGGAGCATGCGCAGTGACAGTGACCACCAGGGTCAGAGACAGTAGGAACTGCAGATAGAGAACGCTGTTTTTTATCGTCTCCTGCAGGTGGTGAGGATGCGGGACCGCGGAGGGAGCGCTGGAGCCGGCGGGGGGACCGGGATGGATTATAAACACTTACTAAACACTTCTAACCTCGATTAATAACCTGAAACTGCCCCATTTGTGACCCCGGGGCCTTTGCCCGGGATCAGCTTCGGCAGAACGGCCGCCATGTTGGATCCGCTGGGAGCAGTGCGCATGCGTGACAACCAGGATAGGGCAGAGCTTCCAGGGCGTCTGATTTACCTCTCCACTGGGTCCTAGCGCCCGGGACAATATCGGCTTCGTTTCATATCGTCATGGAATCCCTACAGTGTGGAATCAGGCCATTCGGCCCAACAAGTCCACACCGCCCCTCCAAAGAGCATCCCACCCACACCCATTCCCCGACCACTGCATCTCCTATGTCTAACCCACCTAGCCTAAACATCCCTGGACACTATGGGCAATTTAGCTTGGCCAATCCATCCCAACCTGCACATCTTTGGACTGTGGGAGGAAACCCATGCAGACACAGGGAGAATGTGCAAACTCCACACAGACGGTTGCCCAAGGGTGAAATATAGAGTCATAGCTCTGTGCAGCATGGAAACAGAACCTTCGGTCCAACCTGTCCATGCCAAATAGATATCCTAAATTAATCCAGTCCCGTTTGCCAGCATGTGGCCCATATCCCTCTAAACCCTTTAAATGTTGTAATTGTACCAGCCTCCATCACTTTCTCTAGCAGCTCTTTCCATACACACACCACCCCCTGCGTGAAAAAGTTACCCCTCAGTTGCATTTCTCGAGGGGAGCCTTTGAATTGCTTCCTTTGTCCTCTCATCCGAGGGCCTTCCTTGAGCTGGGTGAGAGAGATTTGCTTTCAAAGTCGGACATCCCAGGCACATGGCTGGCCTAGCAGAGTTGGTTTCGGATGATCGTGGCCTTGTTGCTGGCGCTTTTGGCTCCTTCGAGGGTGCTAATGTTTGCATGCCTTTCCTTCCAGCTGATGCGGAGAATCTGTCTGAAACAGCATTGATAGTTCTTCTCAAGGGCCTTGGGGTGTCATGTATATGTAGTTCCAACTCCTATAGGAGGTGCTGAACACTTTAGCCCCACGTTCCTAATCTTTGACTGCCCAACATGGAGAAGGGTGGGTTCACAAACTCCGACTTGGTACAGCAGAGTGCAGCACACGTGATAGACCATGTTTGTAACCTAGTGAGGAATGGATGGAGATTTAAAGTCCCCACCCTTCCACGTTTATCTCCACAGTAAATACTGACGAGAAATGTTCATTTAGGATCTCACCCATCTGCTGTTGATCCACACAGAGACAGCCTCATTAATGTTTAAGGAGCCCTATTATCTCCCTAGTTACTCTTTTGCCTCATAATATACTTGTAGAATCTCTTTGGATTCTCTTTACCTTATCTGATAAAGATCTCTCATGCCCCCTTTTTGCCCTTGTGATTTCTTTCTTAAGTATTCTCCTCCACCCGCTACACTCCTCAAGGGATTCACTCAATCCCAGCTGCCTATACCTACCATATGCCTGTTTTGTCATTTGACTCAACATCTCTAGCCATCCAGCGTTTCCTACTCCTGCTAGCCTTGCCTTTCACACTAACTGGAACATGCTAGCCCTGAACTCTCGTTATCTCACTTTTGAAAGCTTCCCACTTGCTAGATGTCCCTTTACCTGCAAACAGCCTCTGCCATTCAACTTTTATAAGTTCCTGTCTAATACCATCAAAATTTAGAACTTTAATTTATGGACCAGACCTATCCTTTTCCATAACTATTTTAAAACTAACGGAATTATGATCAGTGGTTCCCCCACTAACACCTCAGTCACTTGCCCTACCTTATTTCCCAAGAGGAGGTCACATTTTGCCCCTTCTCTAGTAGGGCCATCTACATATTGATTGACTGTATGACGCTACCATTGATTAAGACCATGGCTAGATTAAAATTCTGCCTTAAATGTATTAAATGACCACTGCTCTCTGTGGGAGAGACTTCCAAAGATTAATGAACCTCTGAGAGAAGAAATTTCTCCTCATCTCAATCTTAAGTGGGAGGCCTCTTTATTTAGATACTGTGCCTGGATACCTGTCAATCCCCTCAGATTCACACACATTTCAGGATAATCACCTCACATTCTTCTAAACTCCAAAGAGTTTAGAAAGTTTGTTGACTGGACAAAGCCCTTCATTCCAAGAATGAATCTTAATTGAACTGTTTCCAGTACTGCTTAAGTAATCTCAAACCAGGAAACAGGAGAGAGAATGTTGTGAATTTCTACCCTAAACTGGCAGTGATGCATTTTGCAAAGTCGTTTCACACAGCATGCGAAGTAGAGGATCTCCTCACAGCAAACTCAAACCAAGAGAAACGTTTGTCTCTTCTGATTTTTTAACCTTGACTGAAACTTTGCAAATTCCTTTTGCAGGGAACTAGACATTTCTCTGACTGCTGTACTCCTGACATCGTTCCAACTACAGGCACCAACAGGAGATTTGAAATTTGGAAATGAAATTATTTCAGAGGTGAGTATTAGGGAACATTCTTCTGCAGTTTAGAGTTTTGTGATCTGTGTTCTAGTTTTGTGACTTGGAGTTGGCGAAGCTCCTGTGCTGGGGATCTGGTCCACACCCATCCTGTGCTCTGTTTCATCTCAGTCCTCCGTGATCACCTCTCTGCTGCTCTCTAATTTCCTCTGCCTTTGATAAAGTTTGATATTTTACTGTAACTTCTGCCACCGCATCTAAATGAAGCTTCCAACTGGAGTTGTGCTGCTTCTTAAGTGTTTATATGAGCAATTGCCATCGCAAGACATGCAAGGCTGTCGGCTAAGTGCAGGTAAATGGGATTTGAAATGTTAGGTGCTTGTACAGAGTCAGTGGGCCGAAGGGCAGTAGGCCTCGGTGTTGATTTTCCAGCTGCAGTCTTCCCATGGTCAATGTTATGGGGCAGGCCAAGCCCCTTCAAAATATTTAAGAAGGTAGCTTAGACCCCTAACTTTTTCTTATTTTAAAGGCAAATGTGAAGTTCCACATGCAATTTGACTGGTCAAATTGGAAAACTTAACAGAATAACAGAGTGATTGATTGATTAATTGTAAAGGGTCATAGGTGTAAAGGGAGTACAGTAGGGGGCTGAGGATGCATCCTTGGGGAGCTCTAGTGTTGAGTGTTATTGTGGAGGAGGTGCAGTTACCTATCCTCTCTGATTGCGGCCTGTGGGTCAGAAAGCTGAGGATCCAGTTGCAGAGGGCGGAGCGAGACCAAGGTTACAGAGTTTTGAGATCAATCCAGAGGGGATAATGGTGTTGAAAGTGGAGCTGTAATCACGGAGCAGGAGTCTGACACAGGCGTCTTTGATGTCCAGATGTTCCAGGGATGAGTGCAAGGCTAGGGATATAGCATCCTCTGTGGACCTGTTACGTCGGTAGGCAAATCGTAAGGGCTCGAGGCGGGCTGGGAGACTGGAGTTGATGTGGGCCGTGACCAACCTCTTGAAGCACTTCACGATTATCGAGGTCAGAGCCACTGGGCGGTAGTCATTAAGGCACACTGCATGTGCTTTCTTGGATACAGGGATGATGGTGGTCTTCTTGAAGCAGGTGGGGACTTTGGCTTGTAGGAGGGAGAGGTTGAAGATGACGGTGAATACTTCCGCCTGTTGGTCCACACAGGATCTGAGTGCTCAGCTGGGGACACCGTCTGGACCCATCACTTTCCTTGGGTTGACTCCCAGGAAGACTGATCTGACATCTGAAGCAGCGATGGAGGGAACAGGCGTGTCTGGGGTACAGCACCTATTACTAATTAGCTGTTCCATTAGCAGTAACATCTCCTAAACACATCCCTTGCCAAAAAGGCAAATTCAGAAAAATAGATTTGTCTCACAGGCAATCCAGCAGCAGAGAGAACCCCAGCTTCTAGCTGTAACCGAGAGAGAGAAAAGGTAGCTTCTCCTTCTTCAAAACTCCAGCAACTTCTGCTCTGTTGAGACTCCAACAACAACTGCTTAAAACTAAGCCTAAAAATCAAAAAAAAACTAGGAATCCTGGTCTGTGAGAGCTGGCCACACCCAGCCAGGCTGCTTCTATTGTTCCAATTTTAAAAAAAAAACCCAAGGCCTCATAAGCTGTTTACTTTACTGGCTTCCTAAGTAAGTAGCTGACCACCTCAGTCTTAAAGTCTCTCTTTAAAAAAAAACAGGACAAAATACCCTCTTAAAGGCACAGTGTCGTGACACGAGGAATTGCTTTTTCCTGCATTCGAGAGAGTTTCTCTTCCACCTCCGAGCAGGAAAGAACACTGAAGCCTAATTGTAATTAATTCTGCACATGTCGAAATGTCGACTCTCTTGTCGCTTTCTGGTTGGCAGTCTAAGGTGCTCAGTGTCCCCACAGCTTGCTCTTTTCATTTCAGATGCCCAGCGACCACTGTATTTGGCTTTCGTTCTCTTACTGTTCACAGATCTAAACCCAGATGGATTGATTAAGAAACTGATTTGTATCATGGTGTGGGTTTGTTACAGAAGTTGGTCCCTGGTTCAGATTCTCGTATCTGTCGCCGTCGAGTGATTGCACTACAGAGGGGGGCCATTTATAAGATACATGGAGCAGAATTAAGCCAGTCGGCCCATCAAGTCTGCTCCACCATTCGATCATGGCGGATGTGTTTCCCAACACCATTCTGTCTTCTCCCCATAACTCTTGATCCCCTTACCAATCAAGAACCTCATCCATCTCTGTCTTAAATACACTCAATGACATGGCCTCCACACTGCAGCAATGAGTTCCACAGATTCACCACCCTCTGGCAGTAGAAATTCCTCCTCATCTCAGTTGTCCCTTCACTCTGAGGCTGTGCCCTCGGTCTCTCTTACTGGTGGAAACATCTTCTCCACATCCACTCTATCCAGGGCGAGAGGTTTCGATCAAGACCCCGCTTCATCCTTCTAAACTCCGTCCAGTACAAGCCCCGAGTCCTCAACTGCTCCTCATATGACAAGCCTAGGATCGTTCTTGTGAATCTCCTCTGGACACCTTCCAAGGCCAGCACATCCTTCCTTAGATACAGAGCCCAAAACTGCTGCTCACAATATTCCAAATGCTGTTGTTTCGCCGTTGACTCTCTGCAAATGCAAACCAGCTGGTCCCCAACCAGCACCTCCCTCCCTCCCCCCACCCCCCAATTTCTTTTCACCTTTAGGTGTCCAACTTTGTATCCGTCTATGCTGGAATGGAGATGGAGGAGGAATTACTGGGTTTATCCTAAGTCCTTTGTGACCCAGTCAGGCCCAGGTATTTCCAATCCACAAACGTCAAAAGGGGCGCTCAGTTTGCTAATCAGATACTCTCCACACAATGTAATTTTAGACACAAGTACTTAGAGTCATACTGCACGGAAACAGACCCTTCAGTGTCACCAGTCCACGCCGACCATAATCCCCAAACTAAACCAGTCCTACCTGCCTGCCTGCTGCTGGGCCCATATCCCTCCAAACCTTTCCTATCCATGTACTTGTCCAAATGCTTTTAAACGTTGTAATTATACCTGCATCCGCCACTTCCTCTGGCCGTTCATTTCACACTCGAACAACTTTCTGTGTAAAAAAGAAATTGCCCCTCATCTCTTTCGTAAATCTTTCTCCTCTCACCTTAAAAATATGCCCCTAGTTTTGAAAAGACCCTGGCTATTCACCTTATCTGTGCCCCTCATGATTTTATTAACATCTATAAGGTCACCCCTCCTATGCTCCCGAGAAAAAAGTCCCAGCCTCTCCTTATTACTCAAACCCTCCATGCCCAGCAACATCCTGGTAAGTCTCTTCTGAACCCTCTCCAGCTTAATAATATCCTTCCTATAGTAGGACAACCAGAACTGGGTACAGTACTCCAGAAGAGGCCTCACCAATGTCATGTACAACCTCAACATAACGTCCCAACTCCTAAACTCAAAAGGTCTGATCAACAAAGGCAAGCCTTCTAATCATCTTCTTAATCCCCCCCCCCCCCCCCCCCCCCCCCGTCTATATGTGATGCAAACTTCAAACGATTATGTACCTGAACCCCTAGGTCTCTCTATTCTACAGCACTACTCTCTGCAGATCCTGTTACTCTGTTGTACATTTTTGGGGTGAAACATGACTCCAGGGTTGTGAACAGTCACATTGAGCAGGAGAGAGTGGCCAGGGAGAAGGATGCAGTCAGTTCTTCAGGATTGGAGATAGGACTGAAGGTATGTCGGATCTGTTCTTTATCCCAATATTGAATCAGAAGAATTTTCTGGGTATGAGTCCAGTCAGGATGGAGTGTGATGGGGTGGTGGTGGGGGCGGGGTGGGGGGGTTGGTGGGAGCGGTGTGGGACATCAGAGCCTATGGTGTTCACATATTCCTGCTCCCCAATCCCTCTCAGAGCTCGATGTTGAGGGTGTGGAAATTTTGGCGTTGATTGTCGGTACGGACCCTGACTCCTCATTGCAACTGTTTCTCCCACCTCTGTCTTGCATCTCTCTCTCTCTTCCTCCCCTCTCTCCCTTCTTCCCTCATCTCTCTGTCTTTCTCTCCCTCCCCTCCCTCTCTCTTTCTCTCCCTCTCCACTGTCACACTCCGCCCTTTTCCCTCCCTCCCCCTTCCTCTTTCCCTCCCTCTCCTCTCTCCTTCCCTTCTCTATTTTCCTCATTCCCCTCCCTGTTCTCTCTCTCTCTTTCCCTTCCTCCTCTATCTCTCTTATTCCCCCTCTTTCTTTCCCTCTCCTTCCTTCCCCTCTCTCTTTCCCTCCCTCCCCTCACCATCTTTCTCTCTTTCTCTTCCTCCCCTCTCCATCTCCTTCCCTCTTTCCCCCATTCCCTCCCTCCTCCCGCTCATTCCCTACCTCCCCTCCCTGCCTTCTCCTCTCTCACCTCTCTCCATTCCAGCCCTCTCCCTCTCTCCCTCTTCCCCCCCCCCCCCCATCTCTCTGTCTCCTCCTTCCTCCCCTGCGTCTCACCTCGCCATCTCTCTCTCTCTGTCGGCTTCCCTCTTTCACCGCTCCATCTCTCCCCTCCCCTTGTCTCGCTAGCTTCCCCCGCCTCCTCCTTCCATCCCAAACTCTTTTCTCCCTCCGACTCTCACTGTCCCCTCATCTCTCCTACGCCCTCACCCCTCTTTCTCTCTATGATCTTGCCTGCTCACTGTCTCCCACAGATTCTTGCCTAGGTGTAGCAGGTTCCCTGACCTGATGGACATCAGATGAGTTGATACAACAATCAGGCTGGGGTTTTTTTTTTACAAGTCACATCCTGTTTGCCTCACTCACTGTCCTCCGGTCTGACATCAACTCCACAGGCAGTGAGAAGTGATGGGGGGGACGATGGTGGTGGTTTGGATTTGCAAGTTGGGAGCCTCGGATGGAAACACCGGCGTCAGGATCTGACGGGGTCGCTCGGTTGAAGGTCACCGGGCTTTGAGCATGGAGCTGGAGAGCACGTCGGTGCAGAAACCGCACGCGTGCTGTGTGTGCGGGCGAGGCTTCAGGCGATCGTCCGACCTGTCCCGGCACCGGCGCGGTCACACCGGCGACAGGCCGTTCCCTTGCTCCCAGTGCGGCAAGGGCTTCGCTCGCTCGTCCACCTTGCTCAGGCACCAGCAGGTTCACACCGAGGAGAGACCCTTCCGGTGCCCGGACTGCGGCAAACGCTTCAAGAGCGGCGGGGACCTGGCCTCCCACCAGCGCCTCCACTCGGACCGGAGGCCTTTCCCGTGCCCGGATTGCGGGAAGGCCTACAGGAGTTCCAGCAATCTCCGGTCCCACCGGCGCGTCCACCGAGAGGCCAGGCCGTTCGGTTGCCCGGACTGCGGCAAACGCTTCAAGAGCGGCAGCAACTTGACGGCCCACAGGCAGGTCCACACCGACCGGAGGCCTTTCCCATGCCCGGATTGCCTGAAGAGCTTCAAAGGTCCCGGGGAGCTGAGCCGCCACCAGTTGGTCCACACCCAGGACAGGCCTTACCCCTGCCCCGAATGCGGGAAGAGCTACAAAAGCACCGGGAACCTCTTGGCCCACCGTAGGCTTCACACCGACGAGAGGCCCTTCCGCTGCCCGGAGTGCGGCGGAGCCTTCAGAAGCTCTGGGGAGCTCACGTCCCATCGATGCACCCACACCGAGGAGAGGCCCTTCCGCTGCCCCGAATGCGGGAAGAGCTACAAAAGCACCGGGAACCTGATGTCCCACCGGCGCTCACACACGCAGGAGAGGCCCTTCCAGTGCGCCGGCTGCGGGAAACGCTTCAAGAGCTCCGGGGAGCTGGTTTCCCACCGGCGGGTCCACACCGACGACAGGCCCTTCCAATGCACCGACTGCGGCAAGAGCTTCAAGAGCTCCGGCGAGCTGATCCTCCACCAGCGGGTCCACACCGACGAGAGGCCGTTCCGGTGCTCCCGCTGCGGCGCCGGCTTCAGGCAGTCGTCTCATCTGACCACCCACCAGCGGGTTCACACCGGGGAGAGGCCGTTCACCTGCGCCAAGTGCGGGAAGGGCTTCACCCGGACCTGTTACCTCCTGACACACCAGCGGGTCCACAAGTGACCTGCCAGGGTCGGGGTCTGGCTGTTAATCGCACCCACAACACAACCGCTGCCTCCTGGGGGTCTTTCCCCCACTGTTGTTTGTGACCCTCCCCCAGCTCGGTTTTCAACGTTAATAAACGTCAGATAAATTTGCTTGGTGTCAAGCAATTTGTTTTTTTAATATTCTCCAACACAAGCGTGCTAAACGCATTCTTAACCACCATATCTACATGTGACACAAACTTTAAAGAATTATGCACCTGAACCCTTAGGTCTCTCTGTTCTACAATACTACCCAAAGCCCTACTTTTAATTGTGTAAGTCCTGCCCTTGTTTGTTTTACCAAAATGCAATACCTCGCATTTATCCAAATTAAACTCCATTTGCCATTCCCCAGCTCATTGACCCAACTGATCAAGATCCCTTTGTAATCTTAGACAACCTTCTTCACTGTCCACTATACCACCAATCTTGGTGTCATCTGCAAACTTACTAACCATGCCTTCAATATTCTCGTCTAAATCATTTATATAAATTACAAACAAAAGTGGGCCCAGGTCACAAACATGTGGCTGTGGATGGGAGATCCCTTATGATTTTATGAAGTTGAAGAACCGCTGGCTGGGATCTTTCTTCTTCATTCATTGATTCCCAATGGAAATTGTTTCTTTGAATATTTGAACTTTGATATCAATTTAATCTTTGGTGAAAAATCCACCATTTTAAATCAGCTGCAAAAGAGAAAGTTCCTGTGTTCTTTCACACTTTCAGAACATCCCAAAGTGGTCCACAGTCAATGATGGATTTTGGAAGGAGCAATGAGGAGAGATAAAGCAAACTAAATGGTACAATTTTAAACAGAGTAATGGAGTGTAAATAGACAAAGTTAACAGAAAGACCTAGGGGTGCAGGTACATATTTCCTTGAAAGTGGTGTCACAGGTAGATGGGGTGGTGAAGAAGGGGTTTGGGACGCTTGCAGTCATCGGTCAGAGCATTGAGTATCGGACTTGGCACATCATGTTACAGCTGTACAGGACAATGGTAATACCACATTTGGAATACAATTCTGGTCACCCTGCTTTAGGAAGAATGTTATTAAACTGGAAGTGTGCAAAAACAGATTTACAAGGATGTTACTGAGATGGAAGGGTTTGAGTTAGAAGGAGAGGCTGAGACATTCCTTCCTGGAGTATAGTAGGCTAAGGGGTGACCTTTTAGAGGTTTATAAAATCATGAGAGGCATAGATAAGGTGAATGGGCGAGGTCTTTTTCCCCAGGGTAGCGGAGTCCAAACCTAGAGGGGCATAGGTTTAAGGTGAGAGGGGAAAAATTTAAAAGGGACCTGAGGGGCAACTTTTTAATGCTGAGGATGGTGCGTTTATGGAACAAGCTGCCAGAAGAAGTGGTAGAGGTGAGTACAATTACAATATTTAAAAGACATTTGGACACATATGTGGATAGAAAGGTTTAGAGGGATATCAGCCAAATGCAGGCAAATGGGGCTAGTTCAGTTTAGGAAACTTGATAGGCATGGACGAGTTGGGCCAAAGACCTGTTTCCATGCTGTATGTCTTTATGTGACAAGTTGTTCAGACAGTTTGAAAAAGAAAATCTGATGGGGGTCTTTGGCTTTCTGAATGGAAGCACAGAGTGGAAGAGCAGGGAATTGATGCTGAATCTTTCTCAATCACCAATTCAGACTCAGCTGAAATTCTGTCGCTCAGTTCTGACAACCGCAGTTTAGGAGAGTCCAAGAGGGTGCAGGGACATTTTCCCAGAATAGTGTCAGGGATGAGGGTTTTCAGTTCAGCGGAGAGGCTGGGTTTGTAGGTTAAAAACATGATGTCTTCAAACCAGACCATTAAAGGGTTCATCTTAAGGATTAAGTGGACATAGAGTCACACAGCAGGGAAACAGACCCTTTGGCCCTACCAGTCCATGTCGAACATAATACCAAACTGAACTAGTCGCACCTGCCTGCTCCTGGCCCATATCCCTCCAAACCTTTCCTATTCATGTACTTATGCAAATGTATTTTGAATGCTGTAACTGTACCTGCATCCACCACTTCAGAAGTCAGCAATTGAAATATAAATGTGGAAAAGTACATCAAAAAAAAATGCCTAATGCAAAAGCAGCCTGTTTTGACTGACATGTGACACTGACTCGGCTGTGGGAACCATTCTTCCATGTAGTTAACAGGGGGCCATCTGGATAGTGTTTTCTGCCAAATGCAATGTCTGAGGAAGTACTACAAAGTGGTGATACAGCTGCATAATATTAGATTCAGAATAGTATTATCAGGGACTTTGCCTCATTCATTGGCCTGAGATCACAGATGGTGCCAGGAACCCCGAGTTCCCCAGTCTAACATCCTGATGGGCAGGAGGCAGGGAGAGTCATCGT